CCTCCCCTCCCCCTCCCCGCCGCACCTGGTTTACGACACTCGCGGCTTTACGACATCACCTTCCTACACCTAGAGCCGCTCGCTCTACGGCCGGAACCTCGTTGCTAGGCACGGGACGGTTTGCGGCAACCGTGGACGCTAGCGAGTTTGAAATGAAAGGAGAGGGAAAAGTTTTCCTCAGGTGTGGTGGGGTGAGTGGGCGGTGGGCGCGGGGCTGCCGGAGGGTGACGGGCTGGCGGCGTGGGAAAGGTGGAGTTGCAGGCTCCCCGGCGCTCGGGCTCTGAACCGACCACACCCGCCGCGGCGTCGCGGCTCCGGCTGCACCGCGCGCCCTCGGAGCGGCCGCGCCGGCGTGGGGAAGGCGGCGCCCGGGCCCTCGGCCGCAGAGGCTCCGACGCTCGGCTTCCCCGAGCTAGCCGGGGGGGGAGGGGGGGCGACTTCAGTCGGGTCGGACGCGAGCTGGGCCGAGACGCGCGCCGAGGAGCAGCCGCGCTGCGGGTCCCGCTGCCCCGCGCGCCTCTCCCCGGTCCCCGGTCCCCGAGCCCCCGGCCGACTGCGGCCTCCAAGGCCGACGGAAGACCGGGCAGCTGACGCCGCACATGCCGAGGCGCTGTCTGCATTCCGTGTCTTTCGGCGGTCTCTGCCTGCGCGCCCCACACCCCTTCCCGCGAGGACACCTCGGAGCCTCGAGCTGTGCTTAACGTGGCCCAGTTGGAGCTAACGATCAGACTTCCTGACGCCGAGCAAACCGAGAGACTGCTAGCACGGCGTGGCTGCAGGAGAGCAGCACATCGCTGGGGCGCCCAGCACATTCGCACCTGCAGTGTCTGCAGTGCCCGTGGCAGGATCCGTTATTGTTAGTTATTTCTTAAATATCGCCCTCCTTCAAGAATTTCAGAAGATTGATTAAGACTCTATTCCAACTTTACAGCTAAAAGTCTGGTCATTTGAAACCAGAAAGTTTAATCCCAAGTATAGGTGAAAAATTTCTTTCCAACATTTGCTGTGACACTTTGACAAGTAAGTGCACTATTTACCAGTGCATGGAATGGGACTGTACGCATTTTTGCTGTACGTTATTTCTGTACTGTGTATCTGCATTCTTAATACCCAAACTAAAATGACTATAATTTTAAGGTACTTCTCATTTTCCTCAGTCGTGTGTTAACTGAAGCTTAGACTTTTCAGAATGGTGTCATCTCTTTGCTTGGTTCAATGCCAATTTCTTCCTTCCCTTTTAAGGATTGTTCATCAGTTGCCCCTTGAGTCAGGTAATTTGCCAGAAAATGTCCTCTCATTTTTTTCAAAGCTACAGTAATTTCCAGTCCGAAAAGAAAAGAAAAAAGTACTCTCCTAACTCTGGGACACATTTACTAAACCCTAAACTTAGAAAGTTTTATACATACTGTTTTCTCTATCTGGCCTGTAAATCCTTATCAAGTTTCCTCCAGTGTTCATTCACACCTTAAAAATCTTGGACAAATTGAGAAGTCAGTGGTTACTTGTTTAGTTAATTTGGGCGAGACATTGTCTATGTGAAGAGGGTATCTGGTTCATTTCAGAATCCTCAGCAGCTAGAGAACCTAGCCTAGAACATAGTAGGTCCTTTCAGCGTATGTGTGTAAACATATAGCGGGGGAGGAGGGGAAGGACGGAGGGAGAGAATGAATGCGTGAGAATGGATGAGCGTATCCCTGAATTGCTAAATTGCCCGTACTGGGCTTGAACTTTTAATCTTCCTACCTCAGCCTCTCACGGTACTGCAAATACAGGTGTGCAGCACCACCCTTGACTTAAATATTTCTTAAATACATTTACGTTGAACCTTTATAAACCTGTTCTAGGCAATAAAGTGAAGATTGTATATCTGCCTTTATAATGTTAGCTCTTAGGAACCATTAAAATCATAAAGGTGAAAGGTACTTAGTGTCATTTATATCCAGTCTAATCACTCTTGATAATAGTTTCTCCATTATCGTTTTTCTAATGATCAACTGTTCACTCTTACTTATTTTTTTAACTCTTACTTTAAAATATGCATAGAAAATATTGGTAGGCCAAATCTTCTAAAATAAAAATTTCAACTTTGCAAAAGTCTCTAGCTGTACATATGAATAAAATATTTGGCTGCTACACCTTATTCATGTAACGCTCTTGGAAATACTGAAATCTAGATGTAAAAGAAAGCAGATAAAAGTAAATCTGAGAATAAAGTGCTGTTTTAAACCTGATGCATGTATGACAGTGACTTATCTCAAATGTAAATGTGGGACATTTTTAGAATAAATTTATAGAAGAAACATTGAGATTTATATTTAAATCAAGGTAGGGGATACTAATAAAATTTTAACATGCATCATGTATTGTTGGTTGTTTTGTAATTGTAGTGCCATCATAAAATGTACATTTGTATATTCTCGTACTTATTTAATATGTCATTGTATCAGCAGCACTAGGCCTGAATGTGCTGAAGGAAAAATATTCCAAAAATGAATATAATGTTTTCCAAATTTATCAGAAAAATCTAAGTGGATAAAATATTTTCCCCATTGACTTGTTCTGTAAATTTTTCCACGAGTTCTTCACACCTTGTCTTGGTTACTTTTCTTGTTGCTTAAAATACCAGACACCCAAAGTTAAAGGAGGAAAGGTTTATTTGGTTCAGTTTGTACAGGTTTCAAACAGTACATAATGAGCTGGCTCCAAGGCAGGGTGGCATGGCAGAGGGCATCACAACAGAGAAACAGTTTATGGCACCAGAAGGCAGCAAAACCAGCAAGCAGCAACCCATGGCAGAAGCCTTGCTTTTGTCCCTTATATTCTATCAAGACTACACGCCCTTAGGGCAGGTAGCACTCACACCCAGGGTGGGCCTTCCCCTTATCCACACCCAGAACTAGGCCAAACCAGTCCCACTAATTTGATAATCACACAGCCTTAATCCCAGCGTCACACACTTCAGATCAGCCACCTCTGAAAAGCCCCACCTATGACTGCACGAGGCTTTCGGGGACATCTGGGCACAAGCCATAACACCTATTTGCTTTTCATATGTGATTCATGTATAATTTACAGTAAAATTTGACATAAGCTTTCAGTTTAAACTGTAGGTATTTCATGATGTTCCATGTTAAGAGTATGATTTTCATATACCTGACTTCCCAGACACATTTGAGAAGTACATGTTATAATTGCCTAATCTTCATCAAAATTAAAAATTTCACAGAAGGTACCACGTTGGTTCTACTCAGTAGCTATTTTCAAACTTAGAGTTTTGAAGAAAATACATTTAATACATATTATTCTTCAAAATACAGAATATAGAGTTGCCCTCAAGGTACTTATCAATCCATGGCTTGAGACTTGATTTGTGTTTTACAGTGGCACAAATGAGAGAAGTGGTCATTTCACTGGTATATTTCACCACATTCTGCAAGGAATCAGGAAGGAAACGAATGCAGGACAGTAGTGGTGAACCTACAGCACCTGTGTCACAGCAGGCTTTTCGTATCATTGAAAGCTGTAAAACATTCGCCATCACTGCTGTAAGGGGATGCAAAACCAACAGTTGTCTCCAGGGGCTGGGCCAGATTTCCTAGGAAAGCCTTCCAGGAGATGATAATAAAAGAAACAGATGTTTCCCCCATACCTCCACATGATTTAATTATATACTGAACCTACAAAATTCCCTTCTGAGGAATAGGCTCCTATTTTTCATATGAGTCAGTGGAACATTAACAGGTTGGGCTACATTGAGGGGGTAAGTTTTCCAGAATGTGTCTAATAGAAAGGTAGAAGTAAATATATGTAGGGAGATATGTTTGCAAGATGTCAGTGGATAGCCACTGTAAAAAGTAAAACCAATATTAATCTTTTCCATAAAATACAATAATTAAAATAAATTGCTTTCAAAGGTTGCTTCTATATTACTTGTAAACAGGAATAACATTTTTTATACTTAGAATTACAGACAGGTAACTTAGAGAATGTAACATTAATATTTTGCATGCTAGTGATTTTCACATATTGTGATACTGAGGCCCTGTATCTCTTTTCTGTTCTATTTTCTTCTCTTGTGCTTCCATGTATTTCTTTCTCTGTTATCTTGACTTGTTTTAGCAGCAAACTGGTTCTGTTACAGAGTATGGCTGCTTCTTTGACCCATAGCCCTGGCTCTCACAGTTTCTCAGTTACAGTCTACCACTGATCAGTCCATTATCTGTGTCAGTAACAGTTTTAGGTATTCCATCCCGTGTTAAGCTCACATGCCAAAGTTGATGATCAAAAGTACTCTGTGTGCAGTTATAGCTGCAACTTCAAGATCCCTGGTCAGAGCTTTCTCACTCTTTCACCTCATGCCTCTGTTTCTTTGTTCTTTTTTTTATCCTGCTTAGATAACTAGACCCGACATTGTGCTTCTCCCCACCAGTCTACTATTTAATCATTCCATCCTTTCTTTGTCTCAGGTCTGACACAGTGCTATTTAGATCATTCCCCTTTCTCTTTTCATTCTAGATTTTTTTCGAATTGTTCTAACTCTGAAAGGTTTTGCTTTTTCATATGATGCTTGGTATTCTGTGTCTTGCAGAATCCATTCTCTGCCTTTCCGAGCTCTGAGAGCCTCACTTCTGTGGACCCCATCACTCAGGTTCCTCTGCCCTTCAGTTTTTATTCGGTTTCAGCCCATTGAAGTCATTGGCAATGACCAGAGGAAGGAGAGAGAGAGTTAGTTCAAAGAGTTAGTTATCCCACCCTCCCTCCTACCTATCTGTGGTAGGAGCTTCACTATGCTAAGGCCCATAACTTCTGTCAGATACTCCTGTCCCACAGGTGTAGGTTGTGCCCGGTTCCAGAAACTGCTTCTTCTCTTTGTGCTTTCAGGCTTACAGATGGTAATGGACGGATGCTTTACCACGCCTTCCCTTGAAATCTGCTCACATCTTTGCAAATAGTCTTTATTAAACTCTCTTCAGTTGCTTTTGAGGGTTTTATCTGCTTCCTGCCAGGGCCCTGAGTAATACACATGTAGAAATTAAAATTATTGTTTAACCTTATGGCCAGCCAATAATTCTATTCCAATTAATTACAACATTAAACTTTGTATTGTACATGTATTATGTTATTTGTTGAAAAAACACATACTTGTTCTAAGGTGTATACATGCAAAATTTGGCAAATAACTATTAGGTAGTAATTATTCAATTACTATTGTGGAATGAAGGTCTGTATCCTAATTGATCCAAAATCCATAGGAGACCACTTTTATATCTAAACAATAAGAGAAAAAAAATCACTGTACTATTCTACTAAGGAAGGGATACCTAGTTTCTTGGTATATTTCATATTCTTTTTAATGACAGCAGTGTACATATGGGTATTAGCTTCCTATTGCTGCTGTAAAAAATTACCACAAACTTAGTGGATTAAAACAGATCTATTATAATTCTGGAAATCAGATGTACAGAATGGGTCTCATGAGGCTGAAATCAAGGTTTTGGCAGGATTGGTATCCTTCAGAAAACTCTCAGGGAGAATCTTTCTTTGTCTTTTCCAGCTTCTAGAGGCTGCTCACATTCCTTGGCTCTTGAGCCTTTTCCTGCATCTTCAAAGCAGTAACATCTGGCAGAGTCCTCTTTTTGCCAGCTCACTAGTTCTATCTAGGCTATCTCTTCTGCATTTAAGGCCTTCATGATTAAATTGAACCCATCTAGATAAATCAGAATATTTCCCCATTTCGAGATCTATTTGTTAGAAAGCTAATCCTGGTTTGCCTCCTTAATTTCCTTTTGCCACATAACATTCACAGGTTTGT